GATCGTAGTAGGTCCTTTGATCTAAACGCCCGGTAAGCTGCTGCTTGACTTCATAAACCAGGCCACCCCCAGCTCGTCCGAGAACTCCGGGTGCCGTCGCTTTCCATCTCCAAGCCAGCCCATCCCAGCTCGTCCAAGAGCACCGGGTGCTGTCGCTTGGGTTTCAATTCATTCATTAACTTCCAGGAACGCTTTCCTAGCTTCTGAGCATCCACATCTCCAGTCACGTCGCGAACTTCAAGCTGTCCTCGTAATGAACTTAATACATCTACAGTAACAGCTTTGGTTAGTAAATCCGCCAAGTGTTCTTTTGTACTCACGTATTCGATGACCACATCTTTCATAGCTATCCGTTCACGAATAAAACAATATCTAAGGCGACTTCTACCATCGATAACAAGGCCATGACGAATTGTTCCTTTCACATAGCGCTGAATTCGTTTTGCCGCATTCCAATGGGCGATACCGGGATCGTTCTGTTACTGGCTGACACACCAAAGGCTATGTCGAGTCTGCTTCCTGTCGTGATGTACATGAGAGATCCGACAAGGCCACGATAGTCTTTATTCTCATCTGCTCGCATTCGTCACTTGTTGTGGGGCAATCGGGTTCTGAGAGAATAACTCCAGGATCACAAGGCTTTTTACACGGGTTGAGCTGCAGCAAATTAAAGTTCGCCAATACACTATTCGTATAAGTAGTTTGGTCAATAGTGAGAGTTTTAGTAGCTCGATTCCGACGTACGCGAAGGCCAAGAATGTGATGCACTTCGCCCATATCCTTGCGCTTAACTCCGGAGAATAATATGCTCTTTATCTCTTGTACACCAGCAGCGGTTTCTGAAATCAGTAGTAGACCATCCGCGTAAATTCCAATTATTGCAACTCCTCTTGATCCAGAACGCACGTAAATACACGAATCGCTTTTTAGCTTCACATACCCATTGATTTTTTAAGAAATCCGTCAGCTTCTTGTGCCACGATCTTGGGGCTTGTTTTAATACATACAACGTCTTCAAAGGTCTGCACACGATATGTTCTTTTCCAGCTTCCACGAGGCCTTCGAGCTGTAGCATGTTTACTTCCTCAGTCATGCCCCTTTCAGGAAAGCGGTATTCACATCCGTTTGATGACATTCTTAGTCATTGATTGCGACTAAGCTAGCAGCATCTGCAGAGACTCTAACTGGATAACTGGAGCAAATACTTCATCATAGTCAATGTACTTCACCTGCTCATATCCCCGAATAAATAATCTAGCCTTGTATCTCTCCACGTTGTCCAGACATGTCGAACTTGTACTTGAATATCCACTTGGGTGGTAAACCACGTGTTCTTTTTGGCAATAGTACAAGCTTCCAATTGCCGTGCGCAACGAGAGATCGGCCTTCTTTATTAATTGCTTGTAGTGCCTCGGGTCCGTTTACAGCTTCTGCGTGAGTTTTTGGCTCTACGCGAGTAGCCATACCGTTGACGTTAGTGTTTTCTTTATTTTACTTACGGTATTTGCTGCTGTAACTTGAGACCCAGCTTCGTTCTGCTTAACCGAAAGCTGATCTGCTGCACGTATGGTAAGCGCTTGTGGTTTGCTTCCAACGTCGGGTAAGTTTCCATTATCATCACGCAATTCGTTGAGCTGAAAATCAACAATAAATTCATTCGATTGCTAAAGTTCTTTGTCTTATGTACTTGAGTGTTCTATCACGGGCTCCGCATAAAACAAGATATCAGGAATTGAATTAGCCAAGCGGGATGGTTAAATAAAATCCAATCGATGTAGCTTTTCACGTCGATTTAGCTCAAGCCGCTTTAGTTGCATCGCCGCAACCGAGCCAGATTCATCAAATATGGCATGGCAGGTTTCCACAATAACTCATGTACCACAATGGAGCACACGCCATGCCTTTTTGAATGCTGAATACCCAACAACACGCCACGATTGCTGCGTTTATCAAGCGTTTTCCGTTTACCAGGTGTTAGAGACGCTTCGAGTGGGTTTCAGTCACGTAGGTGTAGGCAAGAGAATCAAAGACACGGAGATTGCTGTAGTCAGGCTTCTTTCCGTGGCTACGCTCCTCGGGGGTTGTATCTGCTTGTTGCTGTCAGGCGTGCCTCCCCCCAAAGTTGTTTTGGTAATTGAGCCTCAATGAGAAGTGTGCGTACCTTTTTAAACAGAATCGTACTTCAGCGCTGACATTCTGTGCTGGTGTGTATGGGGTTGTTTCGCGATGTACAATTCCACTCAAGGAGCAAAACCGAATCCAATCTGGCTCCACAAATTCACCACCGTTGTCAGCGTTTACCTGTTGTAGAGGCATGTTGTACTTCTCTGCCACCATTGTTACATATTCTCGAAAATGGATTAAGGCTTCAGACTTGTGAGCCTTCAAGCGCGTGGTAATGTAGCCAGTATAGTCATCGACAAATACGAGAACGTAGCACTTGTTGGCTAACGTGGGGACTTCAATAGGCCCCTTCATATCCGTGACCACCAATTCATTCACCGTTGATGCATGTTGCGTATAAGTTCTCTTAAACGAAGCTTGCTGTTGGTTCGAACGCTCACACACATCGCATACCGGGAGTTCAAGCAAGTCGCGCTTTTCCACTCGAAGTCCATGAGCCCGCCCACTTGATACTAGGCGAGCAATGTTCTGGTAGCCTAAGTGGCCACAACGAGGGTGCCAAAGCTCGAGTGATGTTTTTCCAACACTAATATACGATGACTCAGCTGAGGGTGTATTAACGCTGGTGGTCTTAAGGACGTAGAGTTTGTTGTACGTATTTGTTGCAGACTTAAAACGCATACGCCCTTTCTGGAGAACAGCACGGTCGGGAAAAGTACTGAAGTCGGAATTGATTCATCTATCACGAAGACAACGTACACTCAGCAGGTTTTGGCGTCATTATTCGCAGGTAGAAGCATTTGGATAGGGTTAAGTTCACATTTATTACCATCTCATCAGTAAAAATCAGTGTGGCTGCGCCAATACCCTGGACCTCAACGTAGTTGTTATCTCCCAGATACACCTTCTTCTGCAGAGGCTCGAGGTTCGAGAAATACGTAATATCGAAGCCCATGTGGTGCGTACAACCCGAGTCAAGGACCCAAGCGTCTTTTGCCATGGTTGGGCCCTCGGATATAGTCACTTGTAGAGCTGTGTCCACCTTGTTCTCCATTGGACAAGCGATCGCCAGAACATCATATTCATCAGGTGCACCTTTACCGTTATCATAGGTAGACACTGCAGCTGTGTCTGCGACTAAATGAGACGTAATTCCTCGCTCACGGACATGCTTTCTCTCAGCCGACAATCGCGAATCAAATGTCCGGACTTTAGACAATAGTGACAAAGTTTGTCACTGCGGGGACGTTGGTAGGGATGCATGCTAGATGGTTTTGATTGAAGACGAAATGGCAAGCGTCCTGGAAGACGTTGAGCGGAGCCTTGCCCAAAGTGAGCCGATTCGGTGATGTGCTCAGTACAGCACCCGCAATGTTGCTCATTTGAATGACAGCAGTTTGCGACGTGTGCGTGTTGATTCATTGAAATATGACTATGTTCGCGAGTGTCCATTTCAAGTAAGCTTTTTGTCTGTAGATCACGCCATTTTAATCCGTCTTGATTCTGGCACGCCATCACCAAGTTCCTTCGCGACTCAGGTAAAGATCCAAGCATCTGCATCACCTTTGCTTCGTCGTCTACAGGACGCCCAAGCCAGGCTAATGCTTCGGCTTTTTCTTCAAGATCATTGAGATGGGACTGCATGTCATCTCCGTCCTTGTACTTCATGTTGTGAAAGTTGTTGCGAGCATGGTCAATGCTTACCGCTCCTTTCGAGGCGTACACACGCTGCATGTGCTCATACACGGACCTCAAATACTGATAACCTTCACAGTAGCATCGTCGAGCGAGTTTACAAGAAGCAGGAAGGCCTTCTTGTCTCGCGAGATGAAGTCCTGTCGCCGTCTGAGACCCCATGAAGAACTATAGACAAACACTCCACACACAATATACCACACTGCTTCGGCTTCAAGTAGAGCACGAATCCGAATCTGCCAGGCTGTGAAGTCCTTCGTGTGGAAGTCAAAGTTCCATCAGTCCTCCCAGATTGAGCTTTACATGACGATAGTGTTACAATTTTTTTTATTCACTGGTTGCGAAGTTGGGCTCATAACCTATTGAGATGAGAGAGAAATCGGAAGTGAGATTCATGGATCTGCCGAACAAGGGTCCTTAGGGGTTTCGATACTACGTCATGTGGGAGGTAAAACCGCTCTCCTGGGTCCAAACATCCTGCATGACCAAACTTCACGGTTGGGACATGGGCACTCCAATTACCGGGTCGCGGAGGAGGAGGATGCGACAATCAAGGACAAGAAGGATGCGTGCGGAGCAGCGTGGCATTTCTCCAGCCGGAAGTGTTGCATATAGGATGATGGTCAGTGTTCGGAGCCCGTGCTAGGTGGCCATAGCCCGGAACAGGAGCCGGATGCCGCTGCATGAGGATAAGTCAAGTTGGAGCGATAGAAGGTGCTTATGGGTACAGGATAATACTGTGGTAATAAAATGCAATTCATGTACCGGTACTTGTACGAAGTCTGCACTGAAGTACAGCTCCGTAATACGAAGTATCTACTAGCGGCGGTACTGATACGTGTAGGATGCTGCATGTATTAATACACGTAGTACGTATTACTATAATTACTTAATAATATAACGTCGACCCGCCACTTTGCCGTCAGCCCTCGCCGTAGAGCTGATGTTGCCAGCCTGATGACTTTATTGTTTCCTCCTACAAATTGCATCTAATTCACCCCTCTTCCCCGGTATTCTGTATTCTACAGAATAAGCGTTTATGCGAGATAATATATCCAGCAAACTTGGATACCTGCTAGCTGAACTTTTCTAGTCGATGGTCGAGGGGTAGATAGACATGAATTTTGCCCCGGTAATAGAAAGACGGATATAAACTCCAAACAGGTTTGGAAATCTGAGCAACAGCCCTCACTGGCCGTGCGGGAGCTGCCTTCCTATCCCTCATTTTGAAAAGATGAACGGCCCATGAGAGAAGATGATCAGGCAGCTATGGTGCGAGCTATGCAAGGACGGGTGGAAGCCGCGCAAGCCGACTGGCATGGCTAAGGACCACCGATATGTCAGACCTGGAGTCCAAGGGCGCCTGGATGAATCAAGACGCGGAATTGATTATTATGAAGGTGAATACTGCGCATTGATGCAAAGACTACACAAGGGCTATCAGTGCTTTGTATTGACAGGTGAGGCTGAGCTAATGGTATTTGCGCGCCGGTCTGGTTGGCTTGAATCGTCAGTACCACGAGTCGGCATCACTGTTTCGGCTCCGATGGGCAAGCTAGCTGCGTATGCAGTGGCCGGGAGGCAGGTGCCATACCTCGACGACTCGAAACCTACAACGTCAAGTTCTGTGGGCTTGGGGCAGGCGCCCGCCTTCGGTGACCGCATTTGTGAGCCAGTCTCCCACCGCCCTGCCCTCAACCGGCTCGAAAAGTCGTGAATTGAAGGAGACGGTTGCTGAAATGGACCGAGCCGTCGATACTGACGCTATTCCAGAATCTACAGAAGATACCGGTGCCAAAGGTGTAGCTAGTTTGAATGACGAAGGGACCAGCAGTGTGCGTGGCGAAGTCGTCGACACCGAGAGTATTAACGTCTTCGACAGCGACCAATTTATGGATCGACTGTGAGCGGAAAATCTATTCGATTCGATCTCTGATGACGACGGGAATCTGGTGGATGCAGCGGACCTGAGCGACTCAGAGTCTGGTGCCGACGACGATAATATCATGGAAGACAACCCGTGGCCCCCGGAGACGACGAAAGTTGTAGAAGACTTAGAAGTGTTTGGAATAAATGAAAATGACAGCGGGTCATTTGACATGACGACCGGTCAACTTCGCACAATCGCTGAGTCTGGTTGGGTTGCCTACGATGAAGAGCACAGTGGTACGTCTGTACTATACATAATATCGTATATTTTATTGCTAATTCTTTATTATCCGTTTTAATTATGATATAGAAAAGCTTAAACTGGATGCCGATTATTTTGACGGACAATGGGACCCCACACAATCAGCAGTCGCATACGCAGATTCTCCGCTCGGCATGTTCTTTTACTTCCTTCTAAACCAACTGCGGGTACGCATCGCTGAAGAGACTAATCGCTACCGGGATTAGAACATACATACGATTCCTCTATCCCGACGCAACAAACTGCTAGAGCGTCAGGCCAAGGATCCGCGCGTCAGTGTCCCGAACCTGGAGGATATTATCGCCGACCTCAACAAGTTCAAGAAGGTCGAGACGCACGAGATTGTGCACGTGATTGGACTTCTTATTGCTAGAGCTATAGCGCTTATCCGCGATGGCTTCGCTAACCATTGGAGTACTGAAGAACACGGAGCGGTCCCTCGTGGAACGTTTTCTCGCTTCTTGAAGCGCGATCGCTTCGAAGCCATCATGCAGTTCCTGCATTTCAACGACAACGAGGGCAGCGGAGCACACGAAGACAAAGCTTGGAAAATCCGACCAGTTATGCAGGCTGTGGAGAAAACCTTTTTGCCGTGCGTATCGGCTGGGTAGAGTTGTGTCTTTCGACGAAGGCATGATGACCAACCGCAGCAAGTACAACTCGATGAGAGTGTTCATGCCTGCCAAGCCCAGCAAGTACGGAACAAACTTTTACATGACGTGCTGTGCAGAGACAGCATATTGCTCAAGGTATACAAACACTGCTCTATTGGTTAACGTTTACATTCTGGATCCTACAAAATTACGGACTCATACGAATGGTATCCTGTATTTGATACTTTAGAATCGAGATCTACCGCGGCGCTGAAAAAAATAAGAGCAAGAAACAATCTAATGACACCTTGGGTTTGGGCCCCCAAGCTGTCATTCGGAAAGTGTCGAAGGCGCTGGGTGGGCAGCCTGCGAAACGTTTAATTGTCATGGACAGTTTCTATTCGACGGTGGCGCTCCGTCTGAAACTCCTGAGAATGGGTCTGTATCATGTAGGCACAGCACGAGTTGACCTGCTGGGTTGGTGCCCAATCCACTTCACCAAAAAAAAAAGACCAACACGAATCCCAAGAAGAACGTACCGGATTGCGCAGTCGCGGAGCACCCACAGCTAGTTGTATTGAGATGGATGGACTCAAACCAGTCAACAGGCAGTATACCGGATGCAGCACGCATCTCACAAGTAACGTGTCCACAGCTGGCCGTGGAATACGGCTTAGACATGGGAGGCGGGGATGTCCACGATCAGCCGCGGCTGCAGATGAACAGCATTCAGAAGGCCATATCAGTGCGCAAGTACTACAGGCAGTTGTTCCTGTGCATTGTGGACATGGCCCTGATAAATGGGTACATTAATCACTGTATCACGCTAAAAAGACACGGCAATATCCTCCTACGCTCGTTGAATATCTACGCCACTTACACACGCAACTTCTCGGCCTCCGTACGATCAACTTCGAGACGCACATGAACGCTGAGGACCTGATTTCTGTACCCGTCCCAAGGCAGCAGCACACGTTAGTCAACACAGGCGATTTCTTTTCATCAAGCAAGCAACACAAGCGTCGGCAGTACCTTGTCTTTCGAGACAAATTACCATTGCCAGGACTGCGGAGACATCTTTGGTGGTCGCATTCCACTTTGCGACAACATTCGCCGAAAGGAGGAAGGCAACACAAAACCCTGCTACGAGATTTGGCACGAACTCTGGAACGACGGCAAGAGCATCCCGCCAGGGCTAAAAAGAAGATCAGGTTCCGTAAGCGTAAGAGGGAGGAGAACTAAGTGAGAGGCAATACATTGTAGTAAAGTGTACTTATCTAAGTCGAGTGGTCGTGGTATCTGCAGGAAGAAATCGCCCAAGCCCTCCTCACTAAGTCGTTGGTTAGGAGCTGGGCGATTTTTTTCCTCTTCGCGTGCGCGTCCGCGTGGCGCGCTTTGGTTTGGCGCCAAGCATGGCTGGTTGGTGCGACGCTGCCCGCAGGAAAGATGATAGCATCGGAGTCGACGGGTTTTAAAGACCAGCAGGTTATGGCTGTGATTTACCTTGAACTCAGCCAAAAGAAGATCGCCATTTGCGCAGTTGGTATATACATAGTGGATTCTATGTCCGCTTTTGTGGCGCGTTTTGCTTGATGTGTCCTATTCTTTGCCATATAATGCGAAGGGCTACACAGCATAATTTTTGCAGGTTTTTAAGTATACTTTAATCAACATAAACCCTTATTTTTTATGATACAGAAACATTTCTCGGGTTACAGGGGCTAACGGATTTTAAAAAGCGCTAGTTTAGTCTAATGTATCGATATGATTGTACTGTCGGATAAAATGATAATATACGTGAGATACGTCGGCATCTTAAAATTTGTATGGGAAACACATGTTTTCCGTGCCCCTTGGACCTGATACATCAGATGTGGGGTTTCGACTACCTACCTAACCCTTCTTGTATGTATTGGCCAGCACTGACATATTACTTGGCTATGATTGGTCAATAATGATGATACTATACTTAAGGGAGGTCTGATAAAATTATTCCATATCAATATTTTTAAAATTGCTCCAATGAAATGCATAATCTGACGCATGTGACTCGTGTCTCTGCAGCATAGGTCCGCCGAATGCTGCATTATGCTGCTTGAGCAGGAAGATGCACCACAAACGGAATGTCCAAGGTTTCTCTATTAATAATCACAACCTTAGTGCTGTACAGGATTTTCGCAAAATGTTGAGAACCGTCGCATAATCTTTTAGTCCCTGATGCAATCACTGTCGCATATTCTTAAGTCGTAGCATTATTGGCTCAACCTTGCATGGTATATACTATTTAAGTACTGTTCACGGACTCAGTGACACTGAGAGCTGCTGTCAGCTGGATCTGAGCGGCGCCGCATTAAGTGTGCGTCATGGGGGGTGTGCCATTTGACAATCGGTTTTGCATTCAAATCACCATCGAATTGGATAAAACGTATTCGTATTTTGAATCCCGCAAATACTTGCCTCGATGCCACTATTTCTTTTGCGCTTCATTTGAGGTCACAAAAAACTACAGCTGACAAGTGTGATCTCTGCTAAATGAATTAATCAAACAAAGGATAAGTAAGACTCGGCAGTCTGTGTCTTACTCGCGCCAAAAATTTGGAATTATGATTAATTCCAAAAGTAACGAACACACTAAGCAGATATTTTCATATGCCATAGCCTCAGATTCTGCGATGTCTCTCACACGATGCACAATCTTAAAATATTAAACTGCCGACACATTGCCACGTCCAAGCAGGATTTTTTTAAAAGTCAAAAGCTATCTTGGAAGACTCAAAGAGCTCGTAAAAACCTCAAATTTTACCACCACATGTAATTTTTCGTTTTTAAGCCTCGGGTTATTGGGTGATTCCTGAAATCACAAATTCTACATGTATCAAATGCGAGAGAGAGAAAAAAATACACCAATCGTAAATATTTTGCGAAGCAAAAACTGAGCCCTTCGATTTCTAGATTAGACCTAGGTATTTGGAAAAGTAAAAATTCTATCCAGAGAAGAGTATTGAATTTGACCGAGTTTGACCCCCTGTTTTTCTCATTGCGGAACATACACAATAATCAGGCAATTCCTTTGTACCACATTTGTCTTTGTCTTTTAAAGGTGTCTCCTCCACCTACAGAAGGTGGAGACAAAAACATTTTTTTGTCTCCAGTTGTGTTGTTGTGCAAGATGACCAATCACGGACGATTTGAAATTCTCCACCTTCAGGTGGGCTTTATCCACATTGTGGACTCCACCGTGGAAAGCCCCATCGACCACACCCTTACGGGCGTCAGCAAATCAATTCCTATCGAGCACAAGATCATCGTTGGCTTTGTCACTTGTACCGACTTTTTCAAAAGCACTTGATTAGACGGGATTCCCTTGCATGAAGTACAGCTGTCGCAGTAGCAAAGGTAGACTTCCAACTATATTTTAATAGGAACCATCATAACGGGGTTTTGTTTTAAACTTATTACTTTTGGTCTACGTGACCGGGTGCCGATTAAAACCCATTTCGTCGCCCGTATTATAATTCTCTGATTTTTATTTTAAAGTTTACTGAAGCAATTTTTTAACTGCATATGCAACTTAGTTTGACTTGATATTTGTAAATAAAGTGTGGGGTCAAAAGAGGTTAAGAGAGGGAAATTTGGGCAAAGGCGGGCGTACGTGAGTATAAACTAGACTAACCTGCCATTTATGTAAGCTTTAAGAGACAACTCGCGTTAAGTTCTACAGCAAAAAAGGCAGCGTTAAATAATTAAAAAAATTAAACGACTCAAAGATCGGTTTATATGTTGGCTAATTCCGTATGAAAATATTCGTAGACATTGTCGGGTGAACACGTGAACAGTTTCATGCCTCGTTATGAGTTTACTGTACGATATTTGTCGCGATTTCGTCCAAGCAAAACATCCAGAATTGCCTGCAGTCCGTTTTTTACTTTTAAAAAATTGCTGCATGCACATGGCAATATGTAGACATTTTAAGGTTTTAAGATTGTGCAACGTGTGAGAGACATCGCAGAATCTGAGGCTATGGCAAATGAAAATATATGGTCAGTGTATTCGTTACTTTCAAAATTAATCATAATTCCTTTTTTTTGGCGCGACTAAGACACGGACTATCGAGTCTTACTTATCCTTTGTTAGATTAATTCATTTAGCAGATACCACACTTGTCAGCTATCGGGGTAGTCCTCGGAGCGGTCCTCAACCTAGTTAGGGTCGGCGGCTTGAAAGTCATATAGCACCTCGACATCGTCGTCGACCCGCAGACGTTCGATGTTCCGAGCCTCGGCCATACTACGTTGAGAAGCGTTGCGGCGGGTACTCGTCAATGCTAGTTCGACCAGCACCTAAGGGGAGACAGATCGGAGGGGGCTCCCCTCGTCGTACTGACGACAAGCGTGAGATACCACACCGGCGACCACCACGACAAG